GGGAGTGACTTTCCCTAGGGATAAAGAGGGAGTGCATGGCACCAGCAATTGGCATAATGGCTATGTCGCTGGACTCTCATGTAGTCGACTGTGGTTCGGGTCCTGCGCCCAGTGGCTTAAACTCACGCCAGGTGCATGTGTGTGCGTGCCCAAGATCCTGAGAGGAGAATGGAGGAGAAGGGATTGCGGCACAGCCATCCCCATGGGGGGTGATTTCTCACTTTCCGTCTCTGTCTCACTGGTGAACACATGCACCGTATAACAAAAACCTCTAAAAGAGAGAGAGAGAGAGAGCACTAGAGCACTAGAGCTAGACTGGGCAGGGTGGGTAGATTGGTGTGGAACTGAGACTCCAGTCAGTTCTGGGAGCAAGTGGCATTGGGAGGAACAGCCCTAGGAAGATCTGAAGTCAGCCAGGGCAGCTGGTTGAGGGCAGGGAATCTTGCTTATTATTAGGGTCCAAAGAGGCCTAGACCTTGTCTCTTTTTCTCCCAAGCTCAGACTCATGGCCTGGAGATACAAAGAAGTGGTGGAGGAATTCACTAGGCTGCCTCTGAGTCTGACGGACCCCCATGGGAAACCTTCAGGAATCCCAGCAAGTGGATTGGGTGAGTCGTGTGGGTGGTGAGAAACCCCTAATGTGGCTACAAGCCTGGTTGTCTGTCTGTCTCTTCTCAGGGGTGGAGAGGGAGGTGCTAAACCACACAGCAGTGGCTCTCGAGTGCTCTGACAGGCTGCACAAGCAAGTGACTGAGAACACGGGTGCTGAAGGCAGACTGCCCGGTTCCTCCAATGCCTACCTGTGGGACTCTTTGTTGCTCACTTTTCTCATCTGTAACACAAATTTTCTAGGGACGTTTTGAAGACTACTTTATGCATAGCACTTAGGACTGCTGGGTGCCTAGGAGGTGCTCAAAATGGTAGCTGTATTTGTATTTGGGACTGCCTATGGGTTCTGAGGGACAGCATCTGCATCAGATTCGCAGCCTAGAGATGCTTTCTCACCTCTAAGAACTGACTCTGTTCTCACCAGGAAGACGGGGTAAAATAGGGATCCCATAGTTCTCTGCTTCCACAGATCTTATTTTTTCCAATCCTATCATACCACATAAAAATGATCTGTTAAGGTGGGGAGAAAACTTCCAGGCCAGGGAGGGCCCAGACCGGGAGAAAACTGCCAGCTAAGTTCCCTACTCTGAAGCTTAGCAGCAACTGGGGAAAGTGCCAAAAACTGGCCCTCAGGGGAGTGGAGACAACTCAAAGCAGACAGGCTGGGAAACCTTATCACCTTTTCCTCAGTTTCTTTGGATGCTCTGGCTTCTTCCCCCTGCCTCTGCATGGAAACAAAGAGAACACCTGCACCCCTATGTGTGGTCCACTTACCCCACCTCACTTGATTCTTGGGAAAGTTAGGGCCAGGAAAGCTCTAGAAAGAGATCCTCACTGCACTGGCTTCTTCCTGGGAGGGGGTGTTTCACAGCTTGCCCGTTAAACTTAGACCCAGAAATTGGTCTTACTCTCAGACACAGAAATGGCAGGTTCCCCAAACAGAAAAGAGGACACAGAAACAGCATCACAATCTCTTTATTATGATGTCCGCTGGGCCCAGCCCCTGGGAGCATCTGCTCCTCCTGGAGTACCTGTGAAGGCTGAGCCACAGGGAGGGGCATGCAGCTGCAGGGACGGGAAGATGGCTCGGGGCTGTTCCCCTCACCTTACTGTCAAGTTACCTTCCACAGAAAAGCAGACAGGAAAGGTATGAGGGTCCAGGAGGCAGTGGGTCCCCCATTGTAACTCGGGTGCTCTTGGGGTCTCCTCACAGGCCAGGGTTTGGCTGGGAGACAGATCCCAGGCCATCACTAAGTGGCTGGAGGCTAAGCTTGAAGGCCTTTGCTACACTGTGGTCCTCCTAGTTACACCGATGTTCCCCTCTGTGGTCAGGCCAACTCAGTGCTATACAAACTGGAACATGATTGAGCTTCTTATTCCCCTGCACAGACTAGGCCTGACCCCCTCTCCATGCTCTGGGTCACTGGATGCTGTGGCCCAGAAACCTTCCTTTAGTGTTAGTTGGGTCTAGTGGAAATTCTGTAACTTGTTCATTTCTATTTCCTTTCAAGGTTGCCAAAAAATAGTGGTGGCAGGAAAGCAACAGCAGGGGAAATGCCTGGTCCCGCCCCACTCCAGGGCTGAATCATTAGGAACAGATAGGGGCATTACTATCCCCATTCAAGAGCTCTCCATTGTCTGAGTTGCAGCAAGGGACCCAGAGATCCTGGGAAAATTCAAACCAAGTGGCATGGAAAAAGGAGCAATTTTCCTCCACCGTAAAAATAATTTTCTTCCACTGCATCTATAATTGCAGATGTTGCCAGAATGTCCTGAAATTCTGGCATCAAGGTTGCTCTGGCTTTTAGTGCCAAATATGTTTTTATCTTTACTTTGCTGGTCTGAAAGGGACATACTTGCAGGATCACTACCCTCCTACCAGTTCTCAGCTCTGCCTAGAGGTTACTCTTGGCTCTGGGGTGCTCATGACTGGCCCTTCCAGACAGCTTCTCTCTTGACTTTAGGGTTTCCTGGCACCACTCTTACTGAGGCTGATCCCTGCAATGGTTGACACTGTGCTTTGGGCTAAAAGACCTGGGCACAACCCTGGGGGTTACTCCCCAGTGAAGTGCCCTCTTCACAGGGAGTTTGATCCTGTGCTTTCCATATTGGCAATCAGAATGGAGGGACCCCAAGGTTTGGCCACTTACACAAGGCCTGGGTGTCATCCCATTGGGAGCATTAGGATCAGAAGGGCAGGTGTCCACCCTGCCAGCCCATCTCTTGGGCTGAGGGCTGAAAGAGGCAATGTCCTTATGGCTTCTGCTGCAGGCGTCCTCCAGGGAAGGGCACTGAGAACTGGAGCCGTCTCCAGGAGGGAGGGAAGTGCTCTAGCCCTGGGATACTTTAGTGACCACTGCACAAATGTCCTGTTGGTGAAGACTGATCTTAGGAGACAAAGTCAAGTATACTTGGAGAGGAGATGTGGCCACAACTATTCCCTCAGCTGACCCTCTGTCCCTGCAGTTCCTGTGTCATCCAGATGCCCTTTCATTTAAATCTGAGCATAGGGGAGAGGTGAGTGAGAAAACAGGCTTAGGGCAAGTGGTCCTCACAGAAGCATGTATGGAACCCAAGCCTGGGGGTTGGTGTGGGGTAGATGGAACTTGGGAAAAGCATTGATTTTAATTTGAGACAGCCAAGACAAGGCTGAAACATTTTCTCCTACCCCTATTAGAGCCAGTCAGCAATTTTTGTACTTGACAGAATTTTAGTTACAGTGATGAAAGGGCTTGAAGAAGGAAGGAAATGAGCCTTACTATGTTTATAAAGGTTTGGACATCTCCATAAATACTGCAGAGGGCTCCAGGAATTAGGACACTGCAAAGGGAGATTCTGGAAGTGGGGTGTTGAGGGGTTTCTGCAACTCTGAACTAGGGAAGCAATGGAAACTCCCTTTTGGTAAAAAGCTGGACACTTATAGAGAATGCAAGCTCCTCTGTGCTTTTTGCTTCCTAGGACTCTTGTGAACTTGGAACTGTGTTCTTTTCTGGGGGCAGTGTTCCCAGGCCCTGTGCAGCAGGTCCCCGTGAAGGAAGCTTGCTGACCTAGAATGGGGAGAGGGGTGATCCCAAATGGGTCTGCTCTCATGGCAGAACTATGGGGCCCATTTAACTAGGCCCTGGGCTACAGCCAGGCTGATCCAGCCCACGGTCTCTCACCACTCACCCACAGACAACTGGAAGCAGCAGCTCCAGAGAGGTAGGCAGTACCTTGATCTGTGAAGATTCGGGCAATAAGAAGATGGACTTTCAGTCCCTGTGACTGATGAGGCAGGAGAGAAAATCTGTTCAGCTCTCAAAGGCCAGAGGTGGTCTCAAAATGCCCTGAGATCCAGCAGCCCAAGGCCAAGACGGTGATTCACTAGAATAAGCAAGAGCCCCTGTGTTTAATGTGCTTCAGTCTTCCTAGTGCAAAATCCCAGGCCTTGCCATTTCAGATGCCGTCCTTGGGCCCAGGGGTCATGTGCTTCTTTTCTTTTTGACTGTATTGAATACTGACTCATCCTACTGATTGGTCCTGGGAGTAGAGCTGAGGAGTATTTACAAAAAGCTTTTTTTTTTTTAAATTGCCGAGGAGTGTGTGTGTTTGCTGGAGACAAAGTGAGAAAGAGGAAAAGTGAGAAAACAATCCCCACGGGGTATGGTCACTCCACAATCCCCTCTCCTCCATCCCTCCCTCCTTTAGGAATTTTGGACACAGATGCCCAGCATATTTCTCATGCCACTAGGTCCAGGAGTTGAACCTCAATGTCAGGATCCGGCTGCCTTAACACCAGGCTGGTCCGGCTGTGGGTTTTGAAATGTCCAGGGCCATACATATGAACCCAGATTTGTCTCCTGTCTGCTTCACTTCAGTCCTAAAAAATGTAACCACAGCAGCTTATCACCCTACTACTAGGTCAGGCAGTTCTACAGGAGAGACTATTCAGGGCTCTTCTAAGCTCTTCTCTGAGCATCTCAACACTGAGTGGTATGCTCCTTCTGTAAGCATCCACTTTAGTTTAAGTGCCTTGAGCAATGGAGGCATGTTAGTTTCTGCATGACTGAGCTCTGCCTCCACTTGAATAATTCTTGGTAGTCATACCTGGCTACATGTAAGTTGTAAGGTTAAAAAGAGAAACACAGAACCTGGACCCCAGGGTCAGTGCTGACCCACGACACAGGCCTACTTAACTTGAGCACTTAGGAAATGGGGCTGGGGCTTGGAGGCCAGGCTTAGTGTCCTTGTGGCAGCCTCTGTTTTCCCACAAAGTCCTCTTTTGCCAAGTCCAGGCCTCAACCTGGTGGGGAAGGACCTAAAGCAAGCAGTGGGGAAAAGCAGCAACTTGGGCTTCATCTCACTGGTGGAGAAGGACCAACCTTTGCCTTGTGTGAGGCTTTAGCACGACCTTCTCTGCTTGACAGCTGAGATGCAAATCCTCTTCTTAAGCCCCAGACCCCTAGTCAGGGTGACTGAAAGGAGTCCCTACTCAGAGCAGCTCTTTCTTGGGCTGTGGAAGAAGTTGGCTCTGTTCTCCACATGATGGCATAGTTTTTCGTCTACAGTGGAGTTGAGCTGGAACCATGGAAAAGAGCCCTCTCCTCCCTCTTCCATGCAGACCCTGTCTCCATTGGTCTCTCTTGGTGAAGCATCTAATGCAGAGTGCTGTATATCTGTTCAGAATGTTTGTTCCATTCAGGACTGCTGGGCTCTGAGCCATAAGCTATCTGAAAAATAGAGTCCGGAAAGTCTCACCTTGTTTTTTTTTCCACTGTTCTGCTGAAGACTTTTGGATCTGGGTGACTTGGCTGAGAGAGTCCTAGAATTTCGAGTCTTTGGCAGGGGTTACCTCCCCCTTTTCCCATCAGGATTCTACAGGGTAGTTGCCTTCTCTGTCACCAGGAGTTGAAGTTTAAATAAATAACAGGCTAACCTGAAGTCGTGGTTTTCAACTATTTTCCCACCTCAGCACCCCTGAGGTTCACAGTACACACCTACTAGTGACAGTGACTCACCACTGAAGGGTAGAGGAGGCCAGTTAGCATTTCCAAGAAGGCATGTGAGTCTGCTATGCCCCCTTATTGACAGAATCACTTGGCCAGAGATGTGTATATTGAAAATCAGAACTGGCCAATAGAAGGGGTGGGTAGAGACCTCCTTGTTTATACCAGGGACTCCATGAAGGGACAGCTAGGTGTGGGCATGTACTTATATGCATGTGTACACACATATGTGTGTAGTGGCATGATCAGTCTCTGATGTGAGGGCTGAGGACAGGGGGTGGTCCAGGAGCAGATGCTGCCACAGCCCCCAGGGCATCTCCCTATGGCAACACAGCTACTGCTTCTGCTGTGAGAACGGTGACTTCAGTGACAACTTAAGATGCTGGCAGTGCCCCATCCCAATGAGTCTCAGTGCCAGAGGTTGGTGGGGGAAGGGAGAAAGGAAAAGAGGGAGAGGATGTCACTGTCTCTGAACTGCTTCCCTGCTCCACGCTATCCTGGGGGTTTCAGGTGAATGGCTGCACTGTTGGGGCGAGCAGCCAAAATGTAGATGACGTTCTCCTGTAGGAAGGTAGGCCAGTCCACGAATCTGAAGTGGGAGCAAAGAACAGGTTTGTGAGGTAGTTGTAGAGTCTGAAGGCTTATAAGACCTGATCCTGGTGGCAGCATGGATCAGGCTAGGCAGAATTTAGGGAAGCCTCGGCTTGGGTCTGACATGTTTGCAGGTGGCCTGCTTCAAAGTCAGCAGACCAGTTGGCCGGCCTTAGGGCTCTGGAGTCAAATGTGCACTCTGGGAGCCTGATTTCTGGGGTGGGCACTTGCTTTTTTAGGGTGGCAGTAGGGAGTGCCCTCTTAAGTGTGTATGTGTTGAGAGGGTGCAGGGCGTACAGACAGCCCAGTGAGGAGCTCCTACTCACCTGCACTCCTCCTCTGCAGGCAGCAGGGCCTTTTCCTGACTCTTGCTGCTGCTGCTGGCTGGGCTGCTGTCTGCTATGGGACCCACGTGGCTAATACTGCTGAGTACAGGACACACAGTTAGGAGTGGGAGAGTGAAAAGCCTGTTCCCTCCCAAACTCTGGTGAACCCATGGCTCTGGATGCATATCTGCAGGCTTTTCTGACATGGGGTAACACAGTTTAGAGTTGAGGATACCCTATGCCCCGGCCAATAGGATCCTTGCTTTGCTGTTGGTAGGAGAAGCCAGAGGTTCCCTTCATGCCAAGAACTGCTGGCATGGACAAAGGCAGAGAAGAGGTATTGGTAAGGAGCAGACCTGACGCTGCAGGAAGGAGCCTCTGCCAGGCGTTTGCAGAACCAAGAGTGCTGGGCACGGCGGCATTCTGCCTCACTGATGGTGCTTCCACTGCCCAGTGCCAGGAAGGTGGCTCGGGCTCGTTCTCGCTCCTTGACTGTCAGAAGCCTCAACAGAGAGTTCTGAATGAAAAGAAACAAGTTAAAGTTTTGGAGATGAAGCTATCTTATAAACTTTTAAGCCACAGAGAATTCTACCTGCCCGAGCAGGTGCCCAGAGCCTTTCTGCATCCAGTGCAGATCAATCTTCCTTGGGTTTCACTGGCCTGGGCCCTGGATCACTTGTCACTGGATGGAGCCTGAGTCTATTTCTGATACCAGCCCCTGCTCAGACAGTACCCACTGCTCTCTCAACCTGCCCGCCATATTTCTCAGGCCTCTGTCACCCAGCATCCCAGGGACATTGACCACAACTGGCCCTCACCTGGGGACGCAATTGCTGCAGAAGCAGAAGGGACTCGTGTGACAAGAAGTCAGGCCATTCTACATGGCCTCGGTGTTCAGGGTCCAGGGCTGCAAACTGGCGGGCTGCCTGCTCCTCTTGCTCTTCACTCAGGGCCCTGTTGGTGTCCCCGCGCTTGGCTGCTTGGTGGCGGTAGCGCAGGAAGTCCTCCAGCGTCAAGGAGCAGTCTGTGGGAAGCACCCCATGCTGGCCATGCCCACCATTCCTCAGCTTTGTGGCATTTTCATGCCCCTCCAGGATACCCTCAGTGCCCCCACATCCATAGCTCTTGTCAAGTTTTTGCCTTCTATAGCCAGAGGTAACTCAGGCTGTGGTGGGGGCAGGTCCTTTCCTGGCCAATAATTCAGAAACAAGAACCCGTTTACCCCTACCTCCCAAATCCTGGAATACTCCTTTCATGGCTCACACTGTAAAGTGTGAAGGAAAAATCTGCCCGGCCCCTCTCCATCCTGGCAGCACTGACCAACCTTACCAGGGATGACTTTACATTGCTGAAAGGTCTCTGTGAGGCTGTACATTTCCTCCTCAGTAAGCAGCAAGTTAAGGTTGTCCTGAAAAAAAAAAAAGAAGCACTGAGTCAGTGGCCACATAGACCGGTAAGAAAGAAAAGCCAACAGGAGGGATGGAAGTGGAATTTCAACTGGAAGACAGTTTCAAGGTCATTTATTCCCAGCCTCCCATTCGTAATCAAGGAGACTGAGGCCTGGGAAGGAAGAAGGACCTGCTCATAGTTGCCTGGTACTTCCCCAGAACCCAGATATCCTGACTCTAGTTCTGAATTCATTTTACTAAAATAGTGGTTTTCAAACTATCATCTGAGCTAACCTGGAAGTGCCTAAGGAAGCAGCTGCAGGGGATAGGAGGCTAGTGAGTAGGAGGGCTGTGAATCCCTAACTCTGACAGCCAGAGTAGCTCCACTTTGACCTATTTTATGTATCTGGCTTCTGTGTTAGGCTTTGCTCAAAGAGTATTTTAGTAAAAAGAAAAAGAAAAAAAAAAGGTTACTTCTAGCTCTGTTCCTGGTGGGTTGTACCACTCTAAATAACCTCAAAATGGTTTTGAAAGAAATGCTGTCACGACCAAACTTCCAAAGTCAAGTGAATTTTTTGTGGTACCATAGAGGCTTTAATTCCAAATGAACAGAGACCTTATTTTATTAACATTACTATATAGTTTTTAAACCATCAAAGATTTTTTACAGTGGATGGTTATTTTTCCCCTGAAATGCTGGCCAAGAACAAGAGCAGATATTTTATGAGTGTTCACTTGGAGACTTCATAGGGAACTCGAACCACCTTCCCATAAGCACTCTGTTGGGTATCACGGTGGGGTGCTGCACTGTGAGCTGGACGTAGTATTAGAAAACTCTTCAGGTCATTGCCTGGAAACTGTGCACGTGTGGGAGTGGAGGGAGGACTGATAAAAGATAAGGAAGGGGAGGTAGGCAGGAGACTGACCATGAAGCACCTTAAATGCCCTTTATTGAGCCCTTCAAATTAAGCCTTTATTCTAAGAGCGAAGGAGAGTCCTGGAAGGGTTTTTAAGTGGGGAGCGCATGGTCAGATCCCAACCTGCTGTATGGAAATGGAGAATTTGGAGGTATGCAGAGCAGCTAGGTGGCTGCTGCAACAGCACAGTAAGAAGAGATGAGCAGCTAGATGAAAACATGAGAATGGCAACAAGGGGAGAGACAGGGGAGATATTACAGGTAACATCAATAGGACCTGTTGACTCACTGGATATGAGGGATGAGGGAGAGAAATCAGCTGGGATTGGTAACTGGGGGGTGGTCTTACTGTTCAAAACAGAAGGAATGGGGGAAGAACAGATTTTGAAAGAAAAATGAGTTCATTTTGGGGACCCTTGAGCATGAAGTACCTATGAGACATCAAGATACAAAGTCTAAGAGACAGGAAATTTATGTCTAGACACATAGATGGGAGTCATCAGTGTTTAGATGGTGGCTGTGGGATAAAGTCACCCAAAGAGGGGGGTATACAGTGAGAAAAGAGTTTAACAACAGGACTCTGAGACACACCAGCATTTATGACTGAGACAAGAAACTAAGGGCACTGAGAAAGACAAGCAGAGAAGGTGGGAGGAAAACCAGGAGAGAGAGGGTACTAGATACTAAACAAGGCAGTTGCACAGTGCAGGAGGTAATGCCCACAGAGGTCTCACAAGTGTGCTGGGATTTTACTGATCTTCTATTTTCTCTAGTTTCCATCTTGGGTAATAATTCTCATAAAACAGGGACCAGCAGTTGGCGTAATGGCTATGTTGCTGAACTCCCATGTAGCTGACTGCGGTTCGAGTCCTGGACCTGGTACCTTAAACTCACGCTGGGTGCGTGTGTGTGCGGGCCCAAGATCCTGAGAGGAGCGTGGAGAAGAAGGGATTGTGGCGTGGCCATGCCCCTGGGGGGTGATTTCTCGCTTTCTGTCTCTCTTTCTGGTGAGTGCACGTGCCCTATAACAAAAACCTCTCCAAATTTTTTTTTTTTTCACAACACATACGCGAACATCTGAATAAAATAAGGGAGGATAAGAAAGTGCTAAATATTTCAGAGAGGTGAAGTAAGAAAAGGTCACTAGATGACAGGTTGGAGGTCACAGTGACCTTAGGAAGAGCCGCTTCAGCAGAATGGCAGATGCAGAAATCAGATTATAGGTGGCTGAGAAGCCATAAGGAGGTGATGAAATTCTTTTAAGAAGCCTGGCTGTGAAGGGAAGGGAAGAATTGGAAGAAATCTTTGGTAAAGCCTGGTGGAGAGGGGTGGTAGTGATGTATGGATGGCATAGGTTACAGGAAGCTGGGAAGAGACCAGTGCATTCCCGTGGGTTGGGAACAAATACCGTCAACCCAATTCCACATGAGCAGGGCACTGCAGAGCCGTCACTGTGGGTGAAAATGCTGGCAGCCAGAGGGTGGAGACTAGAACTAGAGAAGGTCATCTGTAGAGCAGGAACTGCTGCGTTGAAGTGTCTGAAAATAATAGTTCTATACTTCATTTAATCGAGAAGAGTTGTTTGTTGAAAGTTTTACAGCTCTGCTTTCTTCTAGGCAAAAAAAAAAAAAAAAAAAAAAAAGAAAGAAAAGAAAGGAAAGAAAAAGAGGAATCAGCAGAGCTGATTCATACTCCGAAGTCAGTGAATGATGAAGGTATCTGCAGGATAACAGATCAATAAGATGAACTCTCTTCAGGTGTGGCGAGAAATGGATATGGATCTGGTTTTCAATGGAAATCTTAGATCTGTCCTTCATTAACAGTTGGAAGGCATTGATATATAATTTGCAAAGTTCTGAATCAATAGAACTTTGTTCTTTTGAGTCACATAATGACCACTTCAGAGATGAAGAACAGATGCTTCTAAAAGTCAGGTAGTTGGCCAAGTGAGGATCTCAGGACTGAGGTTTCCTGCGG